TAAGAAATAGTGGAAAGAAGCATTGTTACAACAAAGGCTTGCTTAGCTTTTCTTAGTCTCAGGAAAGACAAGGAAGCACAAAAGCTGTAAGATGCTTCTTAAATGGCAACTATAAAGTACATTTCACCCTTATTTGAGCATCCTAAAAATATCACACGACAGTAACAGCAGCATTGGAGCATTACAGCTGTATTGTGAGCTGTCTTTGTGATTGGGGTTTTGTGTTTCAGTCTGTTGGCTGATCATAACACTGATTAATGCAGATTTAAACTCAGCCATCTGTCAACAGCACACATGCTGAGTGAATGTTTGAGCTGGAGCTCATAATATGGAATTAATACCACAATCCACCCCCCTTCCTTTCTGATTGGCCGGCAGGTGTCTGTTAAATAACATCACAGGACACACATCTCGACAACAATCCAGGTGTATCAAACTGCAGGATGCCCCAAGAGACATTCTTCACTGGCCTTTTGCAAAACGTAATATACTTCATCAGTGGATGTGAGTCGTTTAATAGCGACAAAAGCACAGGACATTTGGCTAAGGTCATGTATTAATTTATTTTTATTTTACATGACTTCCAGCAGGCGTTGTACAGAAATGTATTTTGAAGGTTTTTGGATTTTTCTGAAAATTTGTGACCTAGTTAGGAAGAAAATCCCATTTACCAAAAATATTCCCACTGCTTTACTCAAATTGTCATTGTTTTCAAATCACAAGTAATATTCACCACAAAATAAATTGCAATGAGTCTCAGTTATTTAAATAACTTTTTAAATACGTTTTGGTAGCTTGGTGCACAGATGTAAACATTTATCATAGGATGTTTTATACAGACCATGTGTCATAATTTAGTATCGTTTCATACGTGCTTTGTCACCCAATGATTTAAAACACCTTTGGTCAGCTGTAAGGATGTTGGGTTATGCATAAATTGTGGTTATTTTAGTTTGATTAAAAGCTGTCAAATTTTATAACTCTAGAACAGTGGTTCTTAACCTTTTTTGAGGTACCGAACCCACCAGTTTCATATGTGCATTCACTGAACCCTTCTGTAGTGATAAATAAAATATGATTTTTTTCCCCCAAATTCAAGACAGAGGGCACCCCATGATCACTAAGTCTTCTTAAAAGGTAGAGTCTCTGAGAACAGTTCTTCAAAATATAGTCAGTGTTTTCAGCAAAGTTGAGCTGAGTGTCCAGGAACGACCCAAGGTATTTAAAATTTTCCACAGTTTCAACAGGTTGGCCATTGAGAGAAACTGGAACCACTTTAAGGTTTTGTTTAGATCATTTAATTAGCTCTACATTCTTAAGAGAATGAAAAATTAATAATAAATAATAAAGACTTTGAGGTATTCTGATTTAGTAATGTAATTATATTAGTTGTGTTACCACCCCCACGCCACTAGAGGCAGTACCAACCAAAAGATGCGACTAAGGAGCAGATTTAGAAGTACACCGAAAGCTACAGAATTTGGTAAAAACGGTGAGTTTTGCTGAAGTAATTAAAGACACAAGTTCAAATCCATGCTGAGAGTGGAACTCCTTCAGTCAGTGCTCCTCCACAGCTCTGATTGGCTCAGCAATGTAACGTGATCCTCTGCAGCAAGTGGGGCGCGTCATCACGACTTTACACAAGTGTCTCTTTACCTCCGCGGCAGAGGCTCCGCCGAACCCCTGAGACCGACTCATCGAACCCCTGGGGTTCGATCGAACCCAGGTTAAGAACCACTGCTCTAGAATCTAGATCTATGCAGTTCTGATTCTTGGGTTAAACAAGGGTTAAAGGC